AAATGTCTGTGTGTGTGTGTGCGTGTGCGTGTGCATGCGTGCGTGCGTGGGTGTTGCTGTCAAACTTGAATTGAATGTGTCCTGATTGTTAATGACTTATATGTAATGCACAGACCGACTGGCTCCGGCTAATACATCTGAGCCCTTCCAGTAAAACATCTCATTCACTCAGCAGCGTCTCACACACACACAAGAGCACTGCAATGAAGAGCTCTCACACTGATTAGTCACCACACACACACACAGCAGTGATGTTCACACCACCTGATTTCGGCACTTCTGTATAGATAAGACAGAAATGAATCCTTGTGGATGGAGGGAAATAGTAATTCCTCAGTGCTTGCTTATTTCCATAATCCATTTCCCTAATGGAGAGTTTGATAGATATAGACAGAGGTTTCTTTTATTGATTTTGCTCTCACGTTACAGTGAGCTTTTTTTTTTGCGTGTTAACTGTTATGACTCTTCTAATGCATGAGCCTTTATGAAATGATATTATAATATTCCCCTGCTCTTTGTGCTGAGGTTTTGTGTACTAGACCTGCAGAAGTCTATGAAATTATTAAAGGGGTCATATGATGCTGCTAAAAAAAACATTATTTGGTGTATTTGGTGTAATGAAATGTGTTTATGCGGTTTAAAGTTAAAAAAACACATTATTTTTGTAGCGTCTGGACCAATCAAACACACAATATATATTTTGTTAGCTATATTTAACAAATACTCTGTAACACCCCTCAGTTAACAAGCCATATGAGGACCTATGGACCCTTCCCCCGAAATGCGTAACACCCTAGGAAAGCCGAACCGGCCCCTGGTCCCCATGGCAACTAATGCTGATACCACTGGTTTTATGACCCCGAGGAATGTGAGCAGAGAGAAAATCACTGCATGTTCCATAGCAAGAGGCACAATGCACAGTAGAAATGGACTTTTCTACTAATTCATTCATAGGAAAACCTTTCTTTGAATGAACACACATATCCTTCAGGTCATTGTGTATGTTGTCTTTGATATTTTTAGACTATTTTATGCATGCTTATGATGGAACCCATTCCTGTCATCTTACATATATGTAACCCTACCATGTTTAGTATCTATGAATTAGTCTTCTGATGATCTAAACGAGAGTGTATATTATATGTTGGTACATAGGCCATATATTAGTGTCCTGAGAATCTTTAGTAATTTCGATTCAAGTTCCATATGCAAATTACCATGCTTTCACACAAAGGGTCATAAAAACTCCCCAGTATCTCAAAACTCCCACTTGGGATTCCGGCCTTTCTCATTGGACAAGCCCATCTTGAGAGGCGGGAATCTTCCGAGACCTTAAAAAGGCCTCACACCAGGGACCCGCCCAGAGTCGGTGGTTCAGTTGTATTCTGAGAAGATGAAAATGTGAGCTGCAATGCTCCAGGAAACTCTAAGTACGTGCCAGGCTTCGGCCTTGACTTTTCCATTCATCAAGATTCTCTGACACAAACTGGTTCTTTTTCATCAACCAACTTCAGCAAAGA